GTGTGTGAGTGGGTGGGGGACAGCAAACTCACACTGCTGGACGCCAACCAGTAAGAGTGTGTGTGTGTGAGAGGTGTGTGTGTGTGTGTGTGTCAAACTCACCCTGCTGGACGCCAACCAGTAAGAGAGTGAGTGTGTGTGGGTGTGTGAGAGTGTGTCAAACTCACACTGCTGGACGCCAACCAGTGAGTGTGGGTGGGTGTGTGGGTGTGTGAGTGTGTGAGTGTGTGTGTGAGTGTGTGTGTGTGGGGGACAGCAAACTCACCCTGCTGGACGCCAACCAGTGAGTGGGTGTGAGTGTGGGTGAGTGAGTGTGTCAAACTCACCCTGCTGGACGCCAACCAGTGAGTGGGTGAGAGTGTGTGAGAGTGAGTGTGTGAGAGTGTGAGAGAGAGAGTGTGAGTGGGTGTGAGTGTGAGAGTGTGTGTGTGTGAGTGTGTGTGTGGGGGACAGCAAACTCACACTGCTGGACGCCAACCAGTAAGAGTGAGAGTGTGTGTGTGTGTGTGTCAAACTCACCCTGCTGGACGCCAACCAGTGAGTGGGTGAGAGTGTGTGAGAGTGAGTGTGTGAGAGTGTGAGAGAGAGAGTGTGAGTGGGTGTGAGTGTGAGAGTGTGTGTGTGTGGGGGACAGCAAACTCACACTGCTGGACGCCAACCAGTAAGAGTGAGAGTGTGTGTGTGTGTGTGTCAAACTCACCCTGCTGGACGCCAACCAGTGAGTGGGTGGGTGTGTGTGTGAGTGTGTGAGTGTGTCAAACTCACCCTGCTGGACGCCAACCAGTGAGTGTGTGTGAGAGTGTGTGTGAGTGTGTCAAACTCACCCTGCTGGACGCCAACCAGTAAGTGGGTGAGAGAGTGTGAGTGGGTGTGTGTGTGTCAAACTCACCCTGCTGGACGCCAACCAGTAAGTGAGAGAGTGTGTGTGTGAGTGTGTGTGTGTGAGTGGGTGTGGGAGTGTGCGTGTGGGTGTGTGAGTGTGTGAGAGTGTGTGTGAGTGTGTGAGTGTGTGTGAGTGTGTGTGTGTGAGTGTGTGGGTGGGGGACAGCAAACTCACACTGCTGGACGCCAACCAGTAAGAGAGTGAGTGTGTGTGGGTGTGTGAGAGTGTGTGAGTGTGTGAGTGGGTGGGGACAGCAAACTCACCCTGCTGGACGCCAACCAGTAAGTGTAAGAGAGAGTGTGTGTGGGTGTGTGTGTGTGTGAGTGTGTGTGTGTGGGGGACAGCAAACTCACACTGCTGGACGCCAACCAGTAAGAGTGTGTGAGTGTGTGAGAGAGTGTGTGTGTGTGTGTCAGTGTGTGTGAGTGTGTGAGAGAGTGTGTGTGTGTGTGTCAGTGTGTGTGAGTGTGTGAGTGTGTGAGAGAGTGTGTGTGTGTGTGTCAGTGTGTGTGAGTGTGTGAGTGTGTGAGAGAGTGTGTGTGTGTGTGCCAGTGTGTGTGAGTGTGTGAGTGTGTGAGTGGGTGGGGGACAGCAAACTCACCCTGCTGGACGCCAACCAGTAAGAGAGTGAGTGTGTGTGGGTGTGTGTGTGTGTGAGTGTGTGTGTGTGGGGGACAGCAAACTCACACTGCTGGACGCCAACCAGTGAGTGTGTGAGTGTGTGTGTGTGTGAGTGTGTGTCAGTGTGTGTGAGTGTGTGAGTGTGTGAGTGGGTGGGGGACAGCAAACTCACACTGCTGGACGCCAACCAGTGAGTGTGTGAGTGTGTGTGTGTGAGTGTGTGTGAGAGTGTGTGTGTGTGTGTCAAACTCACCCTGCTGGACGCCAACCAGTAAGTGGGTGAGAGAGTGTGAGTGGGTGTGTGTGTGTCAAACTCACCCTGCTGGACGCCAACCAGTAAGTGAGAGAGTGTGTGTGTGAGTGTGTGTGTGTGAGTGGGTGTGTGAGTGTGTGTGTGGGTGTGTGAGTGTGTGAGAGTGTGTGTGAGTGTGTGAGTGTGTGTGAGTGTGTGTGTGTGAGTGTGTGGGTGGGGGACAGCAAACTCACACTGCTGGACGCCAACCAGTAAGAGAGTGAGTGTGTGTGGGTGTGTGAGAGTGTGTGAGTGTGTGAGTGGGTGGGGACAGCAAACTCACACTGCTGGACGCCAACCAGTAAGAGAGTGAGTGTGTGTGGGTGTGTGAGAGTGTGTGAGTGTGTGAGTGGGTGGGGACAGCAAACTCACACTGCTGGACGCCAACCAGTAAGAGAGTGAGTGTGTGTGGGTGTGTGAGAGTGTGTGAGTGTGTGAGTGGGTGGGGACAGCAAACTCACACTGCTGGACGCCAACCAGTGAGTGTGTGTGTGTGAGTGTGTGAGTGTGTGTCAGTGTGTGTGAGTGTGTGAGTGTGTGAGTGGGTGGGGGATAGCAAACTCACACTGCTGGACGCCAACCAGTGAGTATGTGGGTGTGTGAGTGTGTGTGTGAGTGAGTGTGTGTGTGTGAGTGTGTGTGTGTGTGTCAAACTCACACTGCTGGACGCCAACCAGTGAGTGTGTGAGAGAGTGTGAGTGGGTGTGTGTGTGTAAAACTCACACTGCTGGACGCCAACCAGTGAGTGTGAGAGTGTGTCAGTGTGTGAGTGTGTGTGAGAGTGTGTGTGTGTGTGAGAGTGTGAGTGTGAGAGCGTGTGTGTGTGTGAGAGTGTGTGTGTGTGAGAGTGTGTGTGTGTGAGAGTGTGTGTGTGTGAGAGTGTGTGTGTGTGTGAGAGTGTGTGTGTGTGAGAGTGTGTGAGAGTGTGTGTGTGTGTGAGTGTGTGGGTGTGAGAGAGTGTGTGTGTGAGTGTGTGGGTGTGAGAGAGTGTGTGTGTGTGTGTGTGAGTGTGTGTGTGTGTGAGTGTGTGAGTGTGAGTGAGTGTAAGAGTGTGTGTGAGAGTGTGTGAGTGTGCCCATGGGCGTGGCCACCAGGGTGGGGGACAGCAAACTCACACTGCTGGACGCCAACCAGTGAGTGGGTGTGTGTGTGTGAGTGTATGAGTGTGAGAGTGGGGGTGAGTGTGAGTGTGTGTGAGTGAGTGTGTGAGTGAGAGTGGGGGACAGCAAACTCACCCTGCTGGACGCCAACCATTAAGAGTGTGTGTGAGTGTGAGAGAGTGAGTGGGTGAGTGTGTGTGAGAGAGAGTGTGTGTGTGTGTGTGAGAGTACGAGAGTGTGAGAGTGAGTGTGAGTGTGTGAGTTAGAGTGTGTGTGTGTGTGAGAGAGTGTGTGAGAGTGAGAGTGTGTGTGTGAGTGTGTGTGTGTGTGAGTGTGTGAGTGTGTGTGTGTGAGAGAGTGTGTGAGAGTGAGGGTGTGTGTGTGAGTGTGTGAGAGTGTGGGGGTGTGTGTGTGAGTGAGAGAGTGTGAGTGTGAGGATGTGGGTGGGTGAGTGGCTGAGTGAGTGAGTGGGTGAGTGGCTGAGTGAGTGAGTGGCTGAGTGGCTGAGTGAGTGAGTGGGTGGCTGAGTGAGTGGGTGGCTGAGTGAGTGAGTGGCTGAGTGAGTGAGTGGCTGAGTGAGTGGCTTAGTGAGTGGCTTAGTGAGTGGCTGAGTGAGTGGCTGAGTGAGTGACTGAGTGACTGACTGAGTGACTGACTGAGTGGCTGAGTGACTGACTGAGTGACTGGCTGAGTGAGTGGCTGAGTGAGTGAGTGAGTGACTGAGTGAGTGGCTGAGTGAGTGAGTGGCTGAGTGACTGAGTGAGTGGCTGAGTGACTGAGTGAGTGACTGAGTGAGTGGCTGAGTGAGTGGCTGAGTGGGTGGCTGACTGAGTGAGTGGCTGAGTGGGTGGCTGAGTGAGTGAGTGGGTGGCTGAGTGACTGAGTGAGTGACTGAGTGACTGACTGAGTGACTGACTGACTGAGTGACTGACTGACTGAGTGACTGACTGAATGACTGACTGACTGACTGACTGAATGACTGACTGACTGAGTGACTGACTGAGTGACTGACTGAGTGACTGACTGAGTGACTGACTGAGTGACTGAGTGACTGACTGAGTGACTGACTGACTGACTGACTGAGTGACTGACTGAGTGACTGACTGACTGACTGAGTGACTGACTGACTGACTGAGTGACTGACTGAATGACTGACTGAATGACTGACTGACTGAGTGACTGAGTGACTGACTGAGTGACTGACTGAGTGACTGACTGAGTGACTGACTGACTGAGTGACTGACTGAGTGACTGACTGACTGAGTGACTGACTGAGTGACTGAGTGACTGACTGAGTGACTGAGTGAGTGACTGAGTGACTGACTGACTGAGTGACTGACTGACTGAGTGACTGACTGACTGAGTGACTGACTGAGTGACTGACTGACTGAGTGACTGACTGACTGAGTGACTGACTGAGTGACTGACTGAGTGACTGACTGAGTGACTGACTGACTGACTGACTGAGTGACTGACTGAGTGACTGACTGAGTGACTGACTGACTGACTGAGTGACTGAGTGAATGACTGACTGACTGACTGACTGAATGACTGACTGACTGCCTGAGTGACTGGCTGACTGACTGACTGAGTGACTGACTGACTGACTGACTGACTGACTGAGTGACTGACTGAGTGACTGACTGAGTGACTGACTGACTGAGTGACTGACTGACTGAGTGACTGACTGACTGAGTGACTGACTGAATGACTGACTGACTGAGTGACTGACTGACTGACTGACTGAGTGACTGACTGACTGAGTGACTGACTGACTGAGTGACTGACTGACTGAGTGACTGACTGAGTGACTGAGTGACTGACTGAGTGACTGACTGACTGAGTGACTGAGTGACTGAGTGAATGACTGAGTGACTGACTGACTGAATGACTGACTGACTGCCTGAGTGACTGACTGACTGACTGACTGAGTGACTGACTGACTGACTGAGTGACTGACTGAGTGACTGACTGACTGAGTGACTGACTGACTGAATGACTGACTGACTGACTGACTGAGTGACTGACTGAGTGACTGACTGAGTGACTGACTGACTGACTGACTGAGTGACTGAGTGGGGTTCACGATGCGCACCCCCGCCAGCTGCCCAGGTGCTGCCATGCTGCTCGTTGAGCGCCTCGACGGCCGCCGCTTCCTTCACACCGGAGACTTCCGTGCCACGGACGCCATGGCGGAGCTGCAGCCGCTGCGGGACGGAGCCCGGATACACACCCTCTACCTGGACAACACGTGGGTCACAGTGCTAGAGATGTGGGTCACAGTGGTAGAGATGTGGGTCACAGTGGTAGAGATGGGGGTCACAGTGCTAGAGATGTGGGTCACAGTGGTAGAGATGGGGGTCACAGTGCTAGAGACGGGGGTCACAGTGCTAGAGATGGGGGTCACAGTGCTAGAGATGGGGGTCACAGTGCTAGAGATGTGGGTCACAGTGTTAGAGATGTGGGTCACAGTGTTAGAGATGGGGGTCACAGTGCTAGAGATGGGGGTCACAGTGCTAGAGATGTGGGTCACAGTGCTAGAGATGGGGGTCACAGTGCTAGAGATGGGGGTCACAGTGTTAGAGATGGGGGTCACAGTGTTAGAGATGTGGGTCACAGTGCTAGAGATGTGGGTCACAGCGCTAGAGATGGGGGTCACAGTGCTAGAGATGTGGGTCACAGTGCTAGAGATGTGGGTCACAGTGCTAGAGATGGGGGTCACAGTGCTAGAGATGGGGGTCACAGTGCTAGAGATGTGGGTCACAGCGCTAGAGATGTGGGTCACAGCGCTAGAGATGGGGGTCACAGTGCTAGTGATGGGGGTCACAGTGCTAGAGATGTGGGTCACAGTGCTAGAGATGTGGGTCACAGTGCTAGAGATGGGGGTCACAGTGCTACAGATGGGGGTCACAGTGCTAGAGATGTGGGTCACAGTGCTAGAGATGGGGGTCACAGTGCTAGAGATGGGGGTCACAGTGCTAGAGATGGGGGTCACAGTGCTAGAGATGTGGGTCACAGTGTTAGAGATGTGGGTCACAGTGTTAGAGATGGGGGTCACAGTGCTAGAGATGGGGGGTCACAGTGTTAGAGATGGGGGTCACAGTGCTAGAGATGGGGGTCACAGTGCTAGAGATGTGGGTCACAGTGCTAGAGATGGGGGTCACAGTGTTAGAGATGGGGGTCACAGTGTTAGAGATGTGGGTCACAGTGTTAGAGATGTGGGTCACAGTGCTAGAGATGGGGGTCACAGTGCTAGAGATGGGGGTCACAGTGCTAGAGATGTGGGTCACAGTGCTAGAGATGTGGGTCACAGTGTTAGAGATGGGGGTCACAGTGTTAGAGATGTGGGTCACAGTGTTAGAGATGTGGGTCACAGTGCTAGAGATGGGGGTCACAGTGCTAGAGATGGGGGTCACAGTGCTAGAGATGGGGGTCACAGTGCTAGAGATGGGGGGGTCACAGTGTTAGAGATGTGGGTCACAGTGCTAGAGATGGGGGTCACAGTGTTAGAGATGTGGGTCACAGTGCTAGAGATGTGGGTCACAGTGTTAGAGATGGGGGTCACAGTCCTAGAGATGGGGGTCACAGTGCTAGAGATGTGGGTCACAGTGCTAGAGATGTGGGTCACAGTGTTAGAGATGTGGGTCACAGTGCTAGAGATGTGGGTCACAGTGTTAGAGATGGGGGTCACAGTCCTAGAGATGGGGGTCACAGTGTTAGAGATGTGGGTCACAGTGCTAGAGATGGGGGTCACAGTGTTAGAGATGGGGGTCACAGTGTTAGAGATGGGGGTCACAGTGCTAGAGATGGGGGTCACAGTGTTAGAGATGTGGGTCACAGTGCTAGAGATGTGGGTCACAGTGCTAGAGATGTGGGTCACAGTGCTAGAGATGTGGGTCACAGTGCTAGAGATGGGGGTCACAGTGCTAGAGATATGGGGGTCACAGTGTTAGAGATGGGGGTCACAGTGCTAGAGATGTGGGTCACAGTGCTAGAGATGTGGGTCACAGTGCTAGAGATGGGGGTCACAGTGTTAGAGATATGGGGGTCACAGTGTTAGAGATGGGGGTCACAGTGCTAGAGATGTGGGTCACAGTGCTAGAGATGTGGGTCACAGTGCTAGAGATGGGGGTCACAGTGCTAGAGATGGGGGTCACAGTGTTAGAGATAGGGGTCACAGTGTTAGAGATGTGGGTCACAGTGCTAGAGATGGGGGTCACAGTGTTAGAGATGGGGGTCACAGTGTTAGAGATATGGGGGTCACAGTGTTAGAGATGGGTGTCACAGTGTTAGAGATGGGGGTCACAGTGCTAGAGATGGGGGGGTCACAGTGTTAGAGATGTGGGTCACAGTGTTAGAGATAGGGGTCACAGTGTTAGAGATGTGGGTCACAGTGCTACAGATGGGGGTCACAGTGCTAGAGATGGGGGTCACAGTGTTAGAGATATGGGGGTCACAGTGTTAGAGATGGGGGTCACAGTGCTAGAGATGTGGGTCACAGTGCTAGAGATGTGGGTCACAGTGTTAGAGATGTGGGTCACAGTGCTAGAGATGTGGGTCACAGTGCTACAGATGGGGGTCACAGTGCTAGAGATGGGGGTCACAGTGCTAGAGATGGGGGTCACAGTGTTAGAGATATGGGGGTCACAGTGTTAGAGATATGGGGGTCACAGTGCTAGAGATGTGGGTCACAGTGCTAGAGATCGGGTCACAGTGCTAGAGATGGGGGTCACAGTGCTAGAGATGGGGGTCACAGTGCTAGAGATGTGGGTCACAGTGCTAGAGATCGGGTCACAGTGCTAGAGATGGGGGTCACAGTGCTAGAGATGGGGGTCACAGTGCTAGAGATGTGTGTCACAGTGTTAGAGATGTGGGTCACAGTGTTAGAGATGTGGGTCACAGTGTTAGAGATGTGGGTCACAGTGTTAGAGATGTGGGTCACAGTGCTAGAGATGGGGGTCACAGTGCTAGAGATGTGGGTCACAGTGCTAGAGATGGGGGTCACAGTGTTACAGATGGGGGTCACAGTGCTAGAGATGGGGGTCACAGTGCTAGAGATGGGGGTCACAGTGCTAGAGATGGGGGTCACAGTGCTAGAGATGGGGGTCACAGTGTTAGAGATGGGGGAGTCACAGTGCTAGAGATGGGGGTCACAGTGCTAGAGATGTGGGTCACAGTGCTAGAGATGGGGGTCACAGTGTTAGAGATGGGGGTCACAGCGCTAGAGATGTGGGTCACAGTGTTAGAGATGTGGGTCACAGTGCTAGAGATGGGGGTCACAGTGCTAGAGATGGGGGTCACAGTGTTAGAGATGTGGGTCACAGTGCTAGAGATATGGGGGTCACAGTGCTAGAGATGTGGGTCACAGTGCTAGAGATGGGGGTCACAGTGCTAGAGATGGGGGTCACAGTGCTAGAGATGTGTGTCACAGTGCTAGAGATGGGGGTCACAGTGCTAGAGATGGGGGTCACAGTGCTAGAGATGGGGGTCACAGTGCTAGAGATGGGGGTCACAGTGCTAGAGATGTGGGTCACAGTGTTAGTGATGGGGGTCACAGTGTTAGAGATGGGGGTCACAGTGCTAGAGATGTGGGTCACAGTGTTAGAGATGTGGGTCACAGTGCTAGAGATGTGGGTCACAGTGTTAGTGATGGGGGTCACAGTGCTAGAGATGGGTGTCACAGCGCTAGAGATGGGGGTCACAGTGTTAGAGATGGGGGTCACAATGCTAGAGATGTGGGTCACAGTGCTAGAGATGGGGGTCACAGTGCTAGAGATGTGGGTCACAGTGCTAGAGATGGGGGTCACAGTGCTAGAGATGTGGGTCACAGTGTTAGAGATGTGGGTCACAGTGTTAGTGATGGGGGTCACAGTGTTAGAGATGGGGGTCACAGTGTTAGAGATGTGGGTCACAGTGCTAGAGATGGGGGTCACAGTGCTAGAGATGGGGGTCACAGTGCTAGAGATGGGGGTCACAGTGCTAGAGATGTGGGTCACAGTGCTAGAGATGGGGGTCACAGTGTTAGAGATGGGGGTCACAGTGCTAGAGATGGGGGTCACAGTGCTAGAGATGTGGGTCACAGTGCTACAGATGGGGGTCACAGTGTTAGAGATGTGGGTCACAGTGTTAGAGATGCGGGTCACAGTGCTAGAGATGGGGTCACAGTGTTAGAGATGTGGGTCACAGTGTTAGAGATGGGGGTCACAGTGTTAGAGATGTGGGTCACAGTGTTAGAGATGGGGGTCACACTGTTAGAGATGCGGGTCACAGTGTTAGAGATGCGGGTCACAGTGCTAGAGATGGGGGTCACAGTGCTAGAGATGTGGGTCACAGTGTTAGAGATATGGGGGTCACAGTGTTAGAGATGTGGGTCACAGTGCTAGAGATGTGGGTCACAGTGCTAGAGATGGTGGTCACAGTGCTAGAGATGGGGGTCACAGTGCTAGAGATGTGGGTCACAGTGTTAGAGATGTGGGTCACAGTGCTAGAGATGGGGGTCACAGTGCTAGAGATGGGGGTCACAGTGCTAGAGATGTGGGTCACAATGCTAGAGATGTGGGTCACAGTGCTAGAGATGGGGGTCACAGTGCTAGAGATGGGGGTCACAGTGCTAGAGAGATGGGGGTCACAGTGCTAGAGATGGGGGTCACAGTGTTAGAGATGGGGGTCACAGTGCTAGAGATGGGGGTCACAGTGTTAGAGATATGGGGGTCACAGTGTTAGAGATGGGGGTCACAGTGCTAGAGATGTGGGTCACAGTGCTAGAGAGATGGGGGTCACAGCGCTAGCGATGGGGGTCACAGTGTTAGAGATGGGGGTCACAGTGTTAGAGATATGGGGGTCACAGTGTTAGAGATGGGGGTCACAGTGCTAGAGATGGGGGTCACAGTGCTAGAGATGGGGGTCACAGTGCTAGAGATGTGGGTCACAGTGTTAGAGATGGGGGTCACAGCGCTAGAGATGTGGGTCACAGTGCTAGAGATGGGGGTCACAGTGTTAGAGATGGGGGTCACAGTGCTAGAGATGTGGGTCACAGTGTTAGAGATGTGGGTCACAGTGTTAGAGATGGGGGTCACAGTGTTAGAGATGGGGGTCACAGCGCTAGAGATGTGGGTCACAGTGCTAGAGATGTGGGTCACAGTGCTAGAGATGTGGGTCACAGTGCTAGAGATGTGGGTCACAGTGCTAGAGATGGGGGTCACAGTGTTAGAGATATGGGGGTCACAGTGTTAGAGATATGGGGGTCACAGTGCTAGAGATGTGGGTCACAGTGTTAGAGATGTGGGTCACAGTGCTAGAGATGTGGGTCACAGTGTTAGAGATGTGGGTCACAGTGCTAGAGATGTGGGTCACAGCGCTAGAGATGGGGGTCACAGTGCTAGAGATGTGGGTCACAGTGCTAGAGATGGGGGTCACAGTGTTAGTGATGGGGGTCACAGTGTTAGAGATATGGGGGTCACAGTGCTAGAGATGGGGGTCACAGTGCTAGAGATGGAGGTCACAGCGCTAGAGATGGGGGTCACAGTGCTAGAGATGTGGGTCACAGTGCTAGAGATGGGGGTCACAGTGCTAGAGATGGGGGTCACAGTGCTAGAGATGGGGGTCACAGTGCTAGAGATGGGGGTCACAGTGTTAGAGATGGGGGTCACAGTGCTAGAGAGATGGGGGTCACAGTGCTAGAGATATGGGGGTCACAGTGTTAGAGATGTGGGTCACAGTGCTAGAGATGTGGGTCACAGTGCTAGAGAGATGGGGGTCACAGCGCTAGCGATGGGGGTCACAGTGTTAGAGATGTGGGTCACAGTGTTAGAGAGATGGGGGTCACAGTGCTAGAGATGGGGGTCACAGTGTTAGAGATGTGGGTCACAGTGTTAGAGAGATGGGGGTCACAGTGCTAGAGATGGGGGTCACAGTGCTAGAGATGGGGGTCACAGTGTTAGAGATGGGGGTCACAGTGCTAGAGATGTGGGTCACAGTGCTAGAGATGTGGGTCACAGTGCTAGAGATGTGGGTCACAGTGCTAGAGATGGGGGTCACAGTTTTAGAGATGTGCGTCACAGTGCTAGAGATGGGGGTCACAGTGTTAGAGATGGGGGTCACAGTGCTAGAGATGTGGGTCACAGTGTTAGAGATGTGGGTCACAGTGTTAGAGATGGGGGTCACAGCGCTAGAGATGGGGGTCACAGTGCTAGAGATGTGGGTCACAGTGCTAGAGATGTGGGTCACAGTGCTAGAGATGTGGGTCACAGTGTTAGAGATGGGGGTCACAGTGTTAGAGATGGGGGTCACAGTGTTAGAGATGTGGGTCACAGTGTTAGAGATGTGGGTCACAGTGTTAGAGATGGGGGTCACAGTGTTAGAGATGTGGGTCACAGTGTTAGAGAGATGGGGGTCACAGTGCTAGAGATGGGGGTCACAGTGTTAGAGATGGGGGAGTCACAGTGCTAGAGATGGCGGTCACAGTGCTAAAGATGGGGGTCACAGTGTTAGAGATGGGGGTCACAGTGTTAGAGAGATGTGGGTCACAGTGCTAGAGATGGGGGTCACAGTGCTAGAGATGTGGGTCACAGTGCTAGAGATGGGGGTCACAGTGCTAGAGATGGGGGTCACAGTGTTAGAGATGTGGGTCACAGTGTTAGAGATGGGGGTCACAGTGCTAGAGATGGGGGTCACAGTGCTAGAGATGTGGGTCACAGCGCTAGAGATGGGGGTCACAGCGCTAGAGATGTGGGTCACAGCGCTAGAGATGTGGGTCACAGTGCTAGAGATGTGGGTCACAGTGCTAGAGATGGGGGTCACAGTGTTAGAGATGTGGGTCACAGTGCTAGAGATGGGGGTCACAGTGCTAGAGATGGGGGGTCACAGTGTTAGAGATGGGGGTCACAGTGTTAGAGATGTGGGTCACAGTGTTAGAGATGTGGGTCACAGTGCTAGAGATGGGGGTCACAGTGTTAGAGATGGGGGTCACAGTGTTAGAGATGGGGGTCACAGTGCTAGAGATGTGGGTCACAATGCTAGAGATGTGGGTCACAGTGCTAGAGATGGGGGTCACAGTGTTAGAGATGGGGGTCACAGTGTTAGAGATGGGGGTCACAGTGCTAGAGATGTGGGTCACAGTGTTAGAGATGGGGGTCACAGTGTTAGAGATGTGGGTCACAGTGTTAGAGATGGGGGTCACAGTGCTAGAGATGGGGGTCACAGCGCTAGAGATGGGGGTCACAGTGCTAGAGATGGGGGTCACAGTGCTAGAGATGGGGGTCACAGTGTTAGAGATGGGGGTCACAGTGCTAGAGATGTGGGTCACAATGCTAGAGATGTGGGTCACAGTGCTAGAGATGTGGGTCACAGTGTTAGAGATGGGGGTCACAGTGTTAGAGATGGGGGTCACAGTGTTAGAGATGGGGGTCACAGTGTTAGAGATGGGGGTCACAGTGCTAGAGATGTGGGTCACAGTGCTAGAGATGGGGGTCACAGTGCTAGAGATGTGGGTCACAGTGCTAGAGATGGGGGTCACAGTGTTAGAGATGGGGGGGGTCACAGTGTTAGAGATGGGTGTCACAGCGCTAGAGATTGGGGGTCACAGTGTTAGAGATGGGGGTCACAGTGTTAGAGATGCGGGGTCACAGTGTTAGAGACGTGGGTCACAGTGTTAGAGATGGGTGTCACAGCGCTAGAGATTGGGGGTCACAGTGTTAGAGACGTGGGTCACAGTGCTAGAGATGGGGGCGTCACAGTGCTAGAGATGGGGGTCACAGTGCTAGAGATGGGGGTCACAGTGTTAGAGATGTGTGTCACAGTGTTAGAGATGGGTGTCACAGCGCTAGAGATTGGGGGTCACAGTGTTAGAGATGTGGGTCACAGTGTTAGAGATGGGGGGTCACAGTGTTAGAGACGTGGGTCACAGTGTTAGAGATGGGTGTCACAGCGCTAGAGATTGGGGGTCACAGTGTTAGAGACGTGGGTCACAGTGCTAGAGATGGGGGGGTCACAGTGCTAGAGATGGGGGTCACAGTGTTAGAGATGTGTGTCACAGTGCTAGAGATGTGGGTCACAGTGCTAGAGATGGGGGTCACAGTGTTAGAGATGGGGGGGTCACAGTGCTAGAGATGGGGGTCACAGCGCTAGAGATGTGGGTCACAGTGCTAGAGATGGGGGTCACAGTGCTAGAGATTGGGGGGGTCACAGCCCTAGAGATTGGGGGGGGTCACAGCCCTAGAGATTGGGGGGGTCACAGCCCTAGAGATTTCCACCCTCCGTGTCTCTCTCCACCCTCCCACCCCTGCCTCCCCAGGTACTGCAGCCCCGAATTTTGCTTCCCCTCTCAGGAGGAGGCGGTCGAGGCGGTGGCGATGCTGGCGGTCGAGGCACTGGCGCTTGACCCGTCCACCCTCTTCGTGGTGGGCTCCTACACCGTCGGCAAGGAGAAGGTCATCATTGGTGAGCCGCAGGGCCCTCGCTCGCACACACAGACACACAGTGGTACCACTCACACAGACACAGTGGTATCACTCACACAGACACCACTCACACAGACACAGCGTTACCTCTCACACAGACACACGTTACCACTCACACAGACACACGTTACCACTCACACAGACACAGTGGTATCACTCACACAGACACAGTGGTATCACTCACACAGACACAGTGGTATCACTCACACAGACACAGTGGTATCACTCACACAGACACCACTCACACAGACACACGTTACCACTCACACAGACACACGTTACCACTCACACAGACACAGTGGTATCACTCACACAGACACCACTCACACAGACACAGCGTTACCACTCACACAGACACACATTACCACTCACACAGACACCACTCACACAGACACACGTTACCACTCGCACAGACACACGTTACCACTCACACAGACACACGTTACCACTCACACAGACACACGTTACCACTCACACACACACGTTATCACTCACACACACACACGTTACCACTCACACAGACACAGCGTTACCACTCACACAGACACAGTCACAGTGGTATCACTCACATAGACACAGTGGTATCACTCACACAGACACCACTCACACAGACACACGTTACCACTCACACAGACACCACTCACACAGACACAGCGTTACCACTCACACAGACACAGACACAGTGGTATCACTCACACAGACACACGTTACCACTCACACAGACACACGTTACCACTCACACAGACACAGCACTACCACTCACACAGACACCACTCACACAGACACACGTTACCACTCACACAGACACAGTGGTACCACTCACACAGACACACGTTACCACTCACACAGACACAGTGGTACCACTCACACAGACACACGTTACCACTCACACAGACACACGTTACCACTCACACAGACACAGCACTACCACTCACACAGACACCACTCACACAGACACACGTTACCACTCACACACACACACGTTACCACTCACACAGACACAGTGGTACCACTCACACAGACACACGTTACCACTCACACAGACACAGTGGTACCACTCACACAGACACACGTTACCACTCACACAGACACACGTTACCACTCACACAGACACAGTGGTACCACTCACACAGACACACGTTACCACTCACACAGACACAGCGTTACCACTCACACAGACACACGTTACCACTCACACAGACACACGTTACCACTCACACAGACACAGTGGTACCACTCACACAGACACACGTTACCACTCACACAGACACAGCGTTATCACTCACACAGACACCACTCACATAGACACAGCGCTACCGCTCACACAGACACACGTTACCACTCACACAGACACACGTTACCACTCACACAGACACACGTTACCACTCACACAGACACACGTTACCACTCACACACACACGTTATCACTCACACACACACACGTTACCACTCACACAGACACAGCGTTACCACTCACACAGACACAGTCACAGTGGTATCACTCACATAGACACAGTGGTATCACTCACACAGACACCACTCACACAGACACACGTTACCACTCACACAGACACCACTCACACAGACACAGCGTTACCACTCACACAGACACAGACACAGTGGTATCACTCACACAGACACACGTTACCACTCACACAGACACACGTTACCACTCACACAGACACAGCACTACCACTCACACAGACACCACTCACACAGACACACGTTACCACTCACACAGACACAGTGGTACCACTCACACAGACACACGTTACCACTCACACAGACACAGTGGTACCACTCACACAGACACACGTTACCACTCACACAGACACACGTTACCACTCACACAGACACAGCACTACCACTCACACAGACACCACTCACACAGACACACGTTACCACTCACACACACACACGTTACCACTCACACAGACACAGTGGTACCACTCACACAGACACACGTTACCACTCACACAGACACAGTGGTACCACTCACACAGACACACGTTACCACTCACACAGACACACGTTACCACTCACACAGACACAGTGGTACCACTCACACAGACACACGTTACCACTCACACAGACACAGCGTTACCACTCACACAGACACACGTTACCACTCACACAGACACACGTTACCACTCACACAGACACAGTGGTACCACTCACACAGACACACGTTACCACTCACACAGACACAGCGTTATCACTCACACAGACACCACTCACATAGACACAGCGCTACCGCTCACACAGACACACGTTACCACTCACACAGACACACGTTACCACTCACACAGACACACGTTACCACTCACACAGACACACGTTACCACTCACACAGACACACGTTACCACTCACACAGACACATGTTACCACTCATACAGACACACGTTACCACTCACATAGACACACGTTACCACTCACACAGACGCACGTTACCACTCACACAGACACACATTACCACTCACACAGACACACGTTACCACTCACATAGACACACATTACCACTCACACAGACACACGTTACCACTCACACAGACACAGCGTTACCACTCACACAGACACAGTGGTACCACTCACACAGACACAGTGGTATCACTCACACAGACACACGTTACCACTCACACAGACACACATTACCACTCACACAGACACACGTTACCACTCACACAGACACACGTTACCACTCACACAGACACACGTTACCACTCACACAGACACAGCGTTACCACTCACACAGACACAGTGGTATCACTCACACAGACACACGTTACCACTCACACAGACACACGTTACCACTCACACAGACACACGTTATCACTCACACAGACACACGTTACCACTCACACACACACAGCGTTACCGCTCGCACAGACACACGTTACCACTCACACAGACACACGTTACCACTCACACAGACACACGTTACCACTCACACAGACACACGTTACCACTCACACAGACACAGTGGTGTCACTCACACAGACACACATTACCACTCACACAGACACAGCGTTACCACTCACACAGACACACGTTACCACTCACACAGACACACGTTACCACTCACACAGACACAGTGGTGTCACTGACACAGACACACGTTACCACTCACACAGACACAGCGTTACCACTCACACAGACGCACGTTACCACTCACACAGACACACGTTACCACTCACACAGACACAGTGGTGTCACTCACACAGACACAGTGGTGTCACTCACACAGACACACGTTACCACTCACACAGACACACGTTACCACTCACACAGACACACGTTACCACTCACACAGACACAGTGGTGTCACTCACACAGACACACGTTACCACTCACACAGACACACGTTACCACTCACACAGACACACGTTACCGCTCACACAGACACACGTTACCACTCACACAGACACAGCGCTACCACTCACACAGACACAGTGGTATCACTCACACAGACACACGTTACCACTCACACAGACACACGTTACCACTCACACAGACACACGTTATCACTCACACAGACACACGTTACCACTCACACACACACAGCGTTACCGCTCGCACAGACACACGTTACCACTCACACAGACACACGTTACCACTCACACAGACACACGTTACCACTCACACAGACGCACGTTACCACTCACACAGACACAGTGGTGTCACTCACACAGACACACGTTACCACTCACACAGACACAGCGTTACCACTCACACAGACACAGTGGTGTCACTGACACAGACACACGTTACCACTCACACAGACACAGTGGTGTCACTCACACAGACACAGTGGTGTCACTCACACAGACACACGTTACCACTCACACAGACACACGTTACCACTCACACAGACACACGTTACCACTCACACAGACACAGTGGTGTCACTCACACAGACACAGCGTTATCACTCACACAGACACAGTGGTGTCACTCACACAGACACACGTTACCACTCACACAGACACACGTTACCACTCACACAGACACACGTTACCGCTCACACAGACACACGTTACCACTCACACAGACACAGCGCTACCGCTCACACAGACACACGTTACCACTCACACAGACACAGCGCTACCACTCACACAGACACAGTGGTATCACTCACACAGACACAGCGGTATCACTCACATAGACACCACTCACATAGACACCACTCACACAGACACAGCGTTACCACTCACATAGACACAGCGCTATCGCTCACATAGACACAGCGCTATCGCTCACACAGACACAGCAACAACAACAACCGCCATTCGCCACTAAGTGGCGGTGACGTCACCACGACGCTTGTGCCAGGCCATGTGCACCCTGAGGCCACGTGAAGTGTCGAACGCCCGCTGGCAGGAGGTCACTGGGCAGACCCAGGTGCCACGGGTCGACTGACTGAGATGACTGGCTGATGCACCACCTGTGCCCCCTACTGTGCCAACCTGCTGTGCTTTAGCCACCCGGCGCTCCGCTCGTTGTTGTGAGCGTCGCTCCTCCGCCCTCCGTTGTTGTTGGAGGGCGACTGCCTCCAACTGCCCAGTAGCGTCCTTCACGAGCCTCCTCCACAGAGGCCGATCTTGACACCGCTGGTACCAGTCATCGTCCGGCAAAAACAACCCCCTACCTCCTCACGGTGCCGGACGGGCAACTCTGCCGTGGACAGTGCTGTGGGGGGAGGTCCAATTTTGATTGGCTCCTCCCCTCATGGCGTCTGTGTCCACCACAGGGACTAAACGGGGGCTCCGGACGGGTGCGAGGGGCTGGTAACCCCTCCACCTTTCAATTAATTACCACGAAACCACGAGTTAAACAGACACAGCACTACCACTCACATAGACACCACTCACATAGACACCACTCACACAGACACAGCGTTACCATTCACGTAGACACAGCACTACCACTCACATAGACACCACTCACATAGACATAGTATCTGTGTGTGTGTATCTGCGTGTGTGTGTCCGTGTGTGTGTGTCCGTGTGTGTGTGTGTATCTGTGTGTGTGTGTGTGTATCTGTGTGTGTGTATCTGTGTGTGTGTGTATCTGTGTGTGTGCCTGTGTGTGTGTGTATCTGTGTGTGTGTGTATCTGTGTGTGTGCCTGTGTGTGTGTGTGTCTGTGTGTGTGTGTCTGTGTGTGTGTGTGTCTGTGTGTGTGTGTCTGTGTGTGCGTGTCTGTGTATGTGTGTATCTGTGTGTGTGTAACTGTGTGTGTCTGTGTAACTGTGTGTGTCTGTGTGTGTGTAACTGTGTATATATATATCTGTGTGTGTGTGTCTGTGTGTGTGTCTATGTGTGTGTGTGTAACTGTGTGTGTCTGTGTGTGTGTGTCTGTGTGTGTGTGTGTGTCTTATTTATTTAACATCTATTTTGACCACGTAGTTCGTGAAGCCTTCAATAGCTGTACCGGGGGAATCTCCATATGGTACAGATATAATGGGAGGCTAATCGATGCCCGGGTGCGGTCAAGGGATGGCTCCCTATTGCTCAACCACGTTATGTATGCTGATGACTTGGTAATAGCTGCTCAGTCAGAGGAGGAGTTGGAGACGCTGCTGCTGAGACTGGAGCGTGCCACTAAGAGGTGGGGCCTTACCATCAGCCCCACCAAAACTAAGCACCTGCCTGGGTATTTTTGTACCATCGGACACTCCACCTCCACAACTCCCAATCGGTGATGGGGCAGTTGTGGAGAGAGTGGAGAGTTTCCCATACCTGGGCAGTGTGCTTATGACTGGCTCCAGTTTAACAGCAGAGGTCTCACTCCGAATCAGTCGAGCGGCAATATCTTTTCATCGGTTGCGTAACGCTGTGTGGAAGCTACCTGGTCTGTCGCTCCGCACTAAGCTTCAGGTCTTCTCGGCCACGGTCATTCCCTCCCTTCTCTACGCTTGCGAAACGTGGACCCCCCTAATGGAACATCTTCGCCGGTTAGAAACATTTAGGCTGGCCTGCCTACGATCCATCCTGGGTTTAACCAGACTGGATTGTGTGAGGAGCTCACAAATCCTTGAAAGATCTGGGCAGGGTCCCATCGGTGAGCTCCTCCGGCAGGCAAGGCTGCGATGGCTGGGTCATGTAGCCCGCATGCCCAGCCACCGCATGCCGAAACAGCTTTTGTTTGGCCGGATTGAGGGGGCTAAGCGGGCGCGGCACGGGCTAGAGAAGAGATGGAGTGATATGGTACAGGAGGACGTGGAGCTGAGTGGACTTGCCGATGACTGGTACCAGCGGTGTCAAGATCGGCCTCTGTGGAGGAGGCTCGTGAAGGATGCTACTGGGCAGTTGGAGGCAGTCGCCCTCCAACAACAACGGAGGGCGGAGGAGCGACGCTCACAACAGCGAGCGGAGCGCCGGGTGGCTAAAGCACAGCAGGTTGGCACAGTAGGGGGCACAGGTGGTGCATCAGCCAGTCATCTCAGTCAGTCGACCCGTGGCACCTGGGTCTGCCCCGTGACCTCCTGCCAGCGGGCGTTCGACACTTCACGTGGCCTCAGGGTGCACATAGCCTGGCACAAGCGTCGTGGTGACGTCACCGCCACTTAGTGGCGAATGGCGGTTGTTGTTGTTGTTGTTGTTGTGTGTGTCTGTGTATCTGTGTGTGTGTGGGGAGCGATAGTGTAGCGGTTAGCGCGCTGCGCTATGAACCTGGCGACCCGGGTTCGATTCCTGCTCACGGCCAACACCAGTGACAATTATCTGAACCGGTCCCGGGCCTCCTCTAGGTCGATTCAGCCTCAAATGAGTACCTGGTGCGGTGTGTAAACATTGCCACTAGGGAGACAAAGGCGGTCGGGCGTGGTGCTGGCCACCCACCTCCTCGTGTACCGTTCCGGCCTTCATAGGTGCTCGCTAACAGCACTTGCCCCTACAGTCTGTGCGTGTGTGTATGTGAGTCTGTGTGTGTGTGTGTATCTGTGTGTGTGTGTATCTGTGTGTGTGTGTGTCTGTGTGTGTGTATCTGTGTGTGTCTATGTGTGTGTGTAACTGTGTGTGTCTGTGTGTGTGTGTATCTGTGTGTGTGTCTCTGTATCTGTGTGTGTGTATCTGTGTGTGTCTGTGTATCTGTGTGTGTGTGTGTATCTGTGTGTGTGTGTCTGTGTGTGTGTGTGTGTGTCTGTGTGTGTGTATCTGTGTGTGTGTCTGTGTGTGTGTGTGAGAGTAGCCGTGGCCGAGGTGCTCAACTGCAAGGTGGCCGTGACGCCTGACAAGTTGAGGATCCTTCGCTGCCTCGACCTGGAGTCTCTGGGCGCCCAGCGACTCACCACCAGCTGGGCCTCCACTCAGCTCCACGTCCTGCCCATGGCTCGGCTCACCCTGCAGGTGGAGCCGTGTGGGAGACGCTGAGACCCTGGGGTCAGGGTTCAAGCCCTGGGTCTGGGTGTCTCTCTCTCTCTCAGGAGGTTCACGGTGGCCGTGTGGGAGACACTGAGACCCTGGGGTCAGGGTTCAAGTCCTGGGTCTGGGTGTCTCTCTCTCAGGGGGTTCACGGTGGCCGTGTGGGTGACACTGAGACCCTGGGGTCAGGGTTCAAGCCCTGGGTCTGGGTGTCTCTCTCAGGGGGTTCACGATGGCCGTGTGGGAGACGCTGAGACCCTGGGGTCAGGGTTCAAGCCCTGGGTCTGGGTGTCTCTCTCTCAGGGGGTTCACGATGGCCGTGTGGGAGACGCTGAGACCCTGGGTTCAGGGTTCAAGCCCTGGGTCTGGGTGTCTCTCAGGGGGTTCACAGTGGCCGTGTGGGAGACGCTGACCCCTGGGGTCAGGGTTCAATCCCTGGGTCTGGGTGTCTCTCTCTCTCTCAGGGGGTTCACAGTGGCCGTGTGGGAGACGCTGAGACCCTGGGGTCAGGGTTCAAGCCCTGGGTGTCTCTCTCTCTCTCTCTCATGGAGTTCACAGTGGCCGTGTGGGAGACACCGAGACCCTGGGTTCAGGGTTCAAGCCCTGGGTCTGGGTGTCTCTCTCTCAGGGGGTTCACGATGGCCGTGTGGGAGACGCTGAGACCCTGGGTTCAGGGTTCAAGCCCTGGGTCTGGGTGTCTCTCTCTCTCAGGGGGTTCACAGTGGCCGTGTGGGAGACGCTGACCCCTGGGGTCAGGGTTCAAGCCCTGGGTCTGGGTCTCTCTCTCTCTCTCTCAGGGGGTTCACAGTGGCCGTGTGGGAGACCTACAGAGGCAGAGGGCGGGACATGGTGGTGGTGGTGGTAGTGACGGTGATCGTGGTGGTGGTGGTGAGGGTGGTGGTGATGGTGGTGGCGGTGACGACCCTGGTTGTGGTAGTGATAGTGGAGATGATGGTGGTGGTGATAGTGGAGATGATGGTGGTGGTGATGGTGGTGACGGTAGTTGTGACAGAGACTGTGGTTGTGGTGGTTGTGGTGATGGTGGTGATAGTGATGATGATGGTGGTGGTGATGGTGGTGACGGTAGTTGTGGTGGTTGTGGTTGTGACGGTGGTTGTGGTGGTGGTTGTGGTGGTTGTGGTGGTTGTGGTTGTGACGGTGGTTGTGGTGGTGGTTGTGGTGGTTGTGGTTGTGACGGTGGTTGTGGTGGTTGTGGTGGTTGTGGTGATGGTGGTGATGATGGTGATAGTGGTGATGATGGTGGTGACGGTAGTTGTGACAGAGACTGTGGTTGTGGTGGTTGCGGTGGTTGTGACGGTGGTTGTGTGGGTGGTTGTGGTGGTTGTGGTGGTTGTTGTGGTGGTTGTTGTGGTGGTTGTGGTTGTGTCAGTGGTTGTGACGGTGGTTGTGACGGTGGTTGTGGTGGTTGTTGTGGTGGTTGTGGTGGTTGTTGTGGTGGTTGTGGTTGTGACGGTGGTTGTGACGGTGGTTGTGGTGGTTGTTGTGGTGGTTGTTGTGGTGGTTGTGACGGTGGTTGTGACGGTGGTTGTGACGGTGGTTGTGGTGGTTGTTGTGGTGGTTGTTGTGGTGGTTGTGGTTGTGACGGTGGTTGTGACGGTGGTTGTGGTGGTTGTTATCTCCGGCGGTGGTGGCCATGGCAGGGCCTGGCACGTCACCTCGCCGGCTTCCCAGGCCGCTACGGCCGCCTCGTGGCCTTCAAGCCGACCGGCTGGGCCTACAGCGGCACCGCCCCACGGCCACAGACGCGGGGCAACGTCACCATCTACGGTGAGGGGGGGTGGCAGCACCAGCAGGGCATTGTGGGTAATGTGGTGGAGGGAGAGAGAGAGAGAGAGAGAGAGGAGGCAGCAGTGGGGCATTGTGGGTAGTGTGGTAGAGAGAGAGGGGGGGCAGCACCAGTGGGGCATTGTGGGTAGTGTGGTAGAGAGGGGGGGGAGGCAGCAGCAGTGGGGCATTGTGGGTAGTGTGGTAGAGAGAGAGAGGGGAGGGGCAGCAGCAGTGGTGCATTGTGGGTAGTGTGGTAGAGAGAGAGAGAGGGGGGGGGCAGCAGCAGTGGTGCATTGTGGGTAGTGTGATGGAGAGAGAGAGGGGGGAGCAGCAGTGGGGCATTGTGGGTAGTGTGGTAGAGAGAGAGAGAGGGGGGGCAGCAGCAGTGGTGCATTGTGGGTAGTGTGGTAGAGAGAGAGAGGGGAGGGGCAGCAGCAGTGGGGCATTGTGGGTAGTGTGGTAGAGAGAGAGAGAAGGGTGCAGCAGTGGGGCATTGTGGGTAGTGTGGTGGAGAGAGAGAGGAGGGGGTGGGCAGCAGCAGTGGTGTATTGTGGGTAGTGTGGTAGAGAGAGGGGGGGCAGCACCAGTGGTGCATTGTGGGTAGTGTGGTAGAGAGAGGGGGGGAGGGGCAGCACCAGTGGGGCATTGTGGGTAGTGTGGTAGAGAGAGAGAAGGGTGCAGCAGTGGTGCATTGTGGGTAGTGTGTTGGAGAGAGAGGGAGGGGCAGCACCAGTGGTGCATTGTGGGTAGTGTGGTAGAGAGAGGGAGGGGCAGCACCAGTGGTGCATTGTGGGTAGTGTGGTAGAGAGAGGGGGGGGGAGGGGCAGCACCAGTGGTGCATTGTGGGTAGTGTGGTAGAGAGAGGGGGGGAGGGGCAGCACCAGTGGTGCATTGTGGGTAGTGTGGTGGAGAGAGAGAGGGGGGGGCAGCACCAGTGGGGCATTGTGGGTAGTGTGGTAGAGAGAGAGAGAAGGGTGCAGCAGTGGTGCATTGTGGGACGTGTGTTGGAGAGAGAGGGAGGGGCAGCACCAGTGGTGCATTGTGGGTAGTGTGGTAGAGAGAGGGGTGGGCAGCAGCAGTGGGGCATTGTGGGTAGTGTGGTAGAGAGAGAGAGGGGCAGCACCAGTGGTGCATTGTGGGTAGTGTGGTAGAGAGAGAGAGGGGAGGGGCAGCAGCAGTGGGGCATTGTGGGTAGTGTGGTAGAGAGAGAGAGAGGCAGCACCAGTGGTGCATTGTGGGTAGTGTGGTAGAGAGAGGGGCGGCCAGCAGCAGTGGGGCATTGTGGGTAGTGTGGTAGAGAGAGAGAGGGGCAGCACCAGTGGTGCATTGTGGGTAGTGTGGTAGAGAGAGAGAGGGGAGGGGCAGCAGCAGTGGGGCATTGTGGGTAGTGTGGTAGAGAGAGAGAGAGGGGGGGCAGCACCAGTGGTGCATTGTGGGTAGTGTGGTAGAGAGAGAGGGGGGAGGGGCAGCAGCAGTGGTGCATTGTGGGTAGTGTGGTAGAGAGGGGGGGGGCAGCAGCAGTGGTGCATTGTGGGTAGTGTGGTAGAGAGGGGGGGGGCAGCAGCAGTGGTGCATTGTGGGTAGTGTGATGGAGAGAGAGGGGGGGCAGCAGCAGTGGTGCATTGTGGGTAGTGTGGTAGAGAGAGAGGGGGGAGGGGCAGCAGCAGTGGTGCATTGTGGGTAGTGTGGTAGAGAGAGAGGGGGGAGGGGCAGCAGCAGTGGTGCATTGTGGGTAGTGTGGTAGAGAGAGCGGGGGGCAGCAGCAGTGGTGCATTGTGGGTAGTGTGGTAGAGAGGGGGGGGGCAGCAGCAGTGGTGCATTGTGGGTAGTGTGATGGAGAGAGAGGGGGGGCAGCAGCAGTGGTGCATTGTGGGTGGTGTGGTAGAGAGAGAGGGGGGAGGGGCAGCAGCAGTGGTGCATTGTGGGTAGTGTGGTAGAGAGAGAGGGGGGAGGGGCAGCAGCAGTGGTGCATTGTGGGTAGTGTGGTAGAGAGAGGGGGGGGAGGGGCAGCACCAGTGGGGCATTGTGGGTAATGTGGTAGAGAGAGCGGGGGCAGCAGCAGTGGGGCATTGTGGGTAGTGTGATGGAGAGAGAGAGAGAGAGGAGGCAGCAGTGGGGCATTGTGGGTAGTGTGGTAGAGAGAGAGGGGGGGGGCAGCACCAGTGGGGCATTGTGGGTAGTGTGGTAGAGAGTGAGAGAAGGGTGCAGCAGTGGGGCATTGTGGGTAGTGTGGTAGAGAGAGAAAGGGGGGGGCAGCAGCAGTGGGGCATTGTGGGTAGTGTGGTGGAGAGAGGGGGGGGAGGGGCAGCACCAGTGGTGCATTGTGGGTAGTGTGGTAGAGAGAGAGGGGGGGGCAGCAGCAGTGGGGCATTGTGGGTAGTGTGATGGAGAGAGAGAGAGAGAGGAGGCAGCAGTGGGGCATTGTGGGTAGTGTGTTGGGGAGAGACAGATGGGGGCAGCAGTGGGGCATTGTGGGTAGTGTGGTATAGAGAGAGAGG